TGACAACCCCACAGCTAACAACATAGTCAAAACTTGAAAGCTTTCCCTTTAAGATGAGGAACACGATGAGGATGCCCACTCTCACCACTTATTTACCATACAAGTGCCCTATTTACCGTGAGAAGTCCCAGGCCAGAGCAGCTAGGTAAGAACAAATAAAAGGCATCCAGATTGGAAAGGAAGAAGTAAAATGCTCTCTATTTGTTTAGTAAAGTTGCAGAGTACAGAATCAGGATACAAAAATCAGTTGTGTTTCTACACAACAATAACGAATTATCCAAAAGAGAAATTTTTTTAATTCCACTTAAAACTGCATCAAAAAGAATAAAACATCTAGGAATAAGTTTAACCCAGGAAGCTAAAGACCTGTATGCTGAAAACTTAAGACATTGATGAAAGATACTGAAGAAGACATGAATAAATGGAAAGATACTCTGTGCTCATGGATTGGCAGAATTAATACTGTTAAAATGTCCATACAGCCCAAAGCAAGATTTAATGCAATTTCTATCAAAATTCCAATGACATTTTTCACAGAACTAGATTAAACAATGCTAAAATTTGTATGAAACCAAGCAGATCCCAAAAAGCCAAAGCAACCTAAAGAAGAGAGAACAAAGCTAAGAGACATCACATTTCCTGATTTCAAACTATATTACAGATATGTAGAAATCACAACAGTGTGGTATTGATATACAGACAGGCACCATAGATCAACAAACAGAGTAGAGTGCCCAGAAATAAACCCACATATATACTGTCAATTTATCACAAAGCAGCCAAGAGTATACAATAGGGAAAGGTCAGTCTCTTCAATTAATATTGAGAAAAGTGGACAGAATGAAAAAGAATGCAGCTGGGCACTGTCTTACACCGTACATAATAATCAACTCAGAATGGTTTTAAAGACTTTAACATAAGACCTGAAACCATAAAACTCCTAGAAGAAAACATAGATGGTAAGCTCTTTGACATTCATTTTGGCAATGAGTTTTTTAATTTGACACCAAAAGGAAAGGAAACCATCAATAAAATGAAAAGATAACCTACAGAATGGAAGAAAATATTTGTAATCATAAATCTGATAAGGGGCTAATACCCAAAATATATAAAGAATTCCTGTAACTCAATAGAAAAATAAACTCAGTAGAAAAAAAATCTGATTTTAAAATGGGCAGAGAATCTGAATAGACATTTTTACAAAGAAGACATACAGGCGCCAACAGGCACATGAAAATGTTCCTCAACATCCCTAATCATCAGGGAAATACAAATCAAAACTACAACGTCACCTGACACCTACCAGAATGGCTGTTATCAAAAATTTAAGAAATAATGAGTGTTAGCCAGGATGTGGGAAAAAGAATGCTTGCGCACTATTGGTGGGAATGTAAATTGGTGCAGCATCTGTGGAAAACAGTATGGGGGTTCCTCAGAAAGTTACAAATAGGACTACCATGTGATCCAGTGGTTCCACTTCTAGGTGTTTATCTGAGGGAAACAAAAATGCTAAATCTATACCTTGTGTTCATTGCAGCATTATTTACAATAGCCAAGACATGAAAACAACCTAAGTATCTATCAAGATGCACAATAGATGCATCGACAAAGAATGTGTGTGTGTGTGTGTGTGTGTGTGTGTGTGTGTACATATGCAATGCAATGGAATATTATTTGGCCATAAAAAAAATCCTGCCGTTTGCATCAGTGTGGTTGGACCTTGAGGGCATTATGCTAAGTGGATAAATCAAACAGAGAAAGACACATACTGTATGATCTCACTTGTATGTGCGCTCTCAAAACTCAGACAACAGAGAACAGATTGGTGGCTGGGGTGAGGGGGCAGTGGGGATTGAGTGAAGGTGATCAAAATGTACAAACTTTCAGTTGTAAGTAAGTTTTGGGGATATAATGTACAGTATGGTGACTATAGGGAAAAAATCAATAAACAAAAAACAGTTTTAATAGAACAATATAAAAGTTAATCTTGACATTTAAAATAGAAAAGCTGACAATTTTAAGAGGTAGGGGGGTGATGGAAGGTGGAGAAAGTATCTTATAGAGGAATGAGATACTGTCAAAATTGATGGAACAGAAAAACACAGGCTTAAATAAATATATCAAATTTATAAAGAACAAACTTATTTTAAGCATAAGAAATGGGGAGGATCTGGGAAAGAAGATGGTGGTGTGCTGAAGCTGGCAAGCAGGCAGAAGGTAATATCTAAAGTTAATAACTCAAATAGCATGAGTATTTTGTTTAGAGCTGTAGAAATAACCACTAGAACCAATAACAAACAATTGAAAATGGTTTCCTCAAGGAAGGAATGAGGCCAAATATACTTAAGTTCTCCAACAACTGCATCAGGTACCAAAAAAATCATTTTCTTTTAATATCTTTATCCACATTGACAAAACTGGTTCACCTTTTTTCGAAGGACTGGTTTGAGCTTATTAAATTTATTCTTAATGTTTTCTTCTTTTTGATGTTATAAATGGAATTGTTTCCTTGTTTTCATTTTTGAAATTTGAATATTAAAGTCTTTTATCATTATGAAATGTCTCTCTATCTCTAGTAATATTTCTTAAAGTTTCTTTTGTCTGATACAGAGTCACTATTTTATGAGTACTCACTTATTTTTAAAAGAAATACATGCACATATTTAGAACAAAAGAGTAGACAGAAACACTAAAATGTTAACATTAGTTGTATCTGGCTTATAGAATTATGAGTTTTATGGTGGGGGAGTTGTGTGTATTCTGAGTTCTGTAATTAGTTTGTATTATAATTAGAAAATATATATATATAAAATTTATAAATACTTTTATCAACTAGATTTGGGGGGTTACAAATAGCAGAATTTGACTCTAACAGTAGAAAAGGAATTTTCAAAGGTATTGGACTAGTCATAGAATCAACAGGAAAGCTGAGGGCCAGGCTCAGAAGAGGCCAGGGCTGTGGCAGCTGAAGACTGAGACAGCAGAAGCTTCTCAACCATCTCTTCTGGGTGATGACACAGAAGTAAATGAACTCTGGCTTCACGCTCTCTCCAGTCAAGACTCAAAATCCAGAAGTGAATGTCTTGCTTTGACATTTGGCAATGAAAGTACATGGCACCTTGAGTTACGGTCCCACGGCTCCACAGAGAGGGGGAAATTATTCCCAGTATGAAATTAGGATGCTGTTATCAAAAGAAGGGAAATGAACTCTGGCAGCTAAAGAGGAACAGATGTTCACTATGATAGTTAACTTTGTGTTAATGCAGAATTGCAGTTTACAATGCTAGTCATAAAAACAGTTATCAATGTGAATAAGAAATGTGTTTTGAATATAGTGGTCCCAATTACTGTCACTTAACCTGAGTTAAAATACTTACCACTTTGAAGCTGTCACTCACAGATTTCTTTCCCACTCTAAGTTTCATATGTTCCATAATGCAATTAAATTCAATTAGAAAATTAGAAAACAGACTTTTTTAGTCATATTGAGGAAGACTTTGTGATAATTTAACACTTCCTAGAATGTCTGTCTTCTCCTTCTTGGTTTACCTGGGTCAACTTATACTTACTCATCGAAACTCAGCTGAAGCATTACCTCACCCAGAAAGGCTTCCTTACACCCTCCTACCACATCCCATTCTAGTGTACAGTGCACTCATCACTGCACGTAGCACAGGTATTGTCCTCATCCCATTGTGTCACATCGGTTGATTTGTCCCCCACACCAGCCAGACTGGCAGACTCTACCTTGTTTTTCTTTGATTCTTCAACCCTCTACAGAGTATCTATTCATCAAAAATTCAGTAAATATTCGTTGAGTAATTGAATGGATTTGCCAGAGAAAAGGGGATAGGACATTCCATATGGAACCCAGCAAGTAGAAAGGCATGGTACTTGGTGCATTCAGGAATGGTAAGATGTTCCAAGGGATTAGAGCATTGAAAGATGAATGGGAGAAGAGACTGGTAAATTTGAGTAGAGTTGGTCTCTACAGGACCATTTATGCCAAGTTTAGACAATTCTGTAGGCCTAGGAACAGAAGAATGAGTGAGATTTGGCAGTGGGAGGAGGGCAGGACATGAGGTTATTTGATGAATATGTACTGGTTGGGCTGGAGCTGGCAGGGAACCCTCAGACAATGGGTGGAATGTTGCTGTCTCTGGGAGTTAGAGAGGTTCAGACCTGGTTTGGGAGCTGATTCACTTGCCATGCCCTGAGAACTTTTCTAGATACTGGGGACACAGTAGTGGGAAATATGAACAAGATTTCTACTCCCATTGAATTTTTATTCTAATGAGGGGAGACAAAAACTATAGGCACAAAGGTGTGTGTACACACTCTCAAACCTAAAGTGCCATGTTGCAGGTGAAATGTTCCAGAACAGCACCCTCACAGGAAGCGTGCAGAGCAGGCTAGAGGGGGTTTCCTTAAAGTATAGCTGGGCCACTCCTTTCCTGGTCCACGTCCCAGTCACGTAGGGCCAAGGTTTTGTAGGTATAATGACCAGTATTGTACATTCTCTCTAGAAATTTGTCTAAAAATAAAAGATTTGTAAGTTCTGGGTTTTAGAAATATATGTGTAATACTTAAGCACTCTCCAAAAGGTGTTTCAAAGAAGAAAAATAATTTTGCACAGTAATACTTTCTTCTTTAGCAGAAGTGATTTCCCTCCCACCCTCCCTGTTTTATAGTACACATAAGTATATGCTTTTATAAAGCTTTGCTAACTGGGTAAATATATGATAGTATAAATAAAAGCCAGTCATTGCCTATGTTATTGACAAATTGTGATTGTAGTTTACAATTTCTAGTTCCTGAAAAATCATCTGGTATTTTTACAGTCTAATCCATAATCTTGCCCCCTGTTTGGGGATTTTCCTTCATTAGAATGGATTCTGGTAATAAAGCAGTTTTGCCTGTGTCAAATAACGTAGCCTCGCATTCTCCTCTCTCGGTTGTGGGCTCATTTAATGGTAAAGGCCCTTTCCTCTCTTTTCCAGGGTGCTGATAAGACTGTGAAAGGTCCAGATGGACTGACTGCCTTTGAAGCCACTGACAACCAGGCAATCAAAGCCCTTCTTCAGTGATGGACGGATGGGTTAACAGCTCTGGAAGAATGACTCTCCTGTGGCCTCACACTGCTGCCTGTCTGTCTGTCACTCTCTATCTGCCAGCTTCTTCAGCTAAAATACTTTAAGAAGGGTGAGGGGAGAGAGAAATTCATAACAAATCAGACTACCAGAAAAAAAAAAAACAATGTTTGGGAGGAGAGGAAAAAAACGAGATCAGGCTTTTACTAGGATTCCTGATCAGGTCAGCCTCTTTTCCATTTCCAGTAAAATACACAGCTTATCCCCAAGGGAGAGCAAGGACAAAACATACCAGTAACATTTGACCTTTTCAGCTCCCTAGCTAATTTTATTAGATTGCGTTGAGGGTCTGATTATACCAAGGCCGACTCTACATATTTGGCAGCCCTATTGTGTGTGCAGTAGTGGCTGCTGTGATGTAACTTAGGGTGCTGAGATAAGCAATTAGCTATAGCCTTCTGCCTTAAGACGCACTCTAGTGGGATCTCCCGGCGTAGTTAAGAGCGCTGCCTGTGGTTGGTGACCAAATCTTCCCTCGGTGACTCAGCTTTATGTGGAAGCTCAGTTAAGACGAGGAGGGGCACACTCCTAAACTGCTGGACGGCTGAACTTTGGATTTCCTCTCCCCCTTCACATGGATTTCATGTATCTTTAGATAAAACTGACTAGTTTTATTTATAAAATCTCAAATTTTAGAAGTCTGGAGGAGAAATCATTCCAGTATGCATTTTTTTTTCTCCTCTAGATTCAGACATTTATATAACATTGAAACACTTGCAAACTCCTGCTGGTAGTAAAAGGGGATTTTAAAATAGAATCATAGCCATAAGCCTGTTAGTATCATTTAAAGAAAGAACAGTTGTCTTAGTACCTATGGATTTTCTTCATTTGCTATTTGAATGGATTGGCCTCTGTTACGTTTGAAGAATCAAGGAACATTCTTTGAAATGCCTCTCTCAGACCCATCTTGGATGCTGATTACTTATTGCACCAAAGCTATCAATGGGGGGAGATTTACTGTTTGGATAAATTTAACCCCATCCCTTCAAAAATATGCTTGTTACCAGGTTTCCCTGAGTTGTTGATAGGCTCCTGCTGAACGTATGGCAACCCACCTGCATAATATATTTTTGTTTCTTTTCTATATTATGCGTTGCATATAGTGTGACACCTTCAAATTGTATTCTGTGTTCTTAAAATACAGTGCCCTGAAACAGTGTTCTTATGACCTGCAGAAAAATTTAGACACATTTTTAAATGTTTGTGAGCAGTGCAGCTAATTAAAACATACGCCCTTAAATTTGCCGTCTTGCATATAAAACATCAAAATTCCTTTGACTTGTCATCCACATTAGTTTACTAAAAATATTAGTAATATTAGGGTTTTTCCTTAGCCATGTCATGCAATAATTGAATGTACCTCAAATTTTTAAAAGGGAGGGGAGGATGGGTTAGGGGCTTGCATTCAGATTGTGGATAATAAAGAATTAATGATGGTTTTTTTAAGGCAATGTAGCATTCTACAGCAGGGTTAAACCAGTATCAAGAACAGTCAGCCTGGCCAGTAACAAATCTTACTGACCAGTGGCTGATTGGTTGGTTAGTGTGTGGGTTTATTTGTGCGTGTACTTTTCCCCATGAGCCCTTTTTTATCCTGTGGCATTTTCACTTACAACTAGCCTAGCCCTGTAATTTTCCGATGTTCAAGAAAACAATCACAAAATGCTGGTTTCAATACTTTGATACACTTGGCTTAATTCTACTGTCTTAATGCAGCCTACCAGAGTTGGATTAAAAGTCAGTAATCAGTACTTTATAACATCACTGAACTGAACCACGGAGCCATCCTCACTGAAGATGAGGGCACTCTATCAGTCTGTAACTGTCAACATAGTGACAAGTTGTTTTGTTGTCTTTGTTTTCACCTCTTGGCATACTGCTCTTTTAAAGGCTTGGATTTTACCCTCTACGCAGTCCCTATCTTTACTTTCCCAGTGTTTTTGTAGTTGGCTACCGCAGAGTGTGCACCGTCCTGTCATTCCCAAACCTCGTCTGCCTTCTACAGTCCACCTGGTCTAGAGACCATGCGATTCTCTGTACAGTTTATCCTGATGTTCCTTGTAATGCAGTAGAGGCTACTTCGCCTTCCCTCTTCTTTCTCAGCCATTTTGTAAACCCATAATTATGAGGCGGTTGCTTGAGAAAATAACAGATAAACATAGAATAGACTGACCAAGATGGTTTACAATTTTTTTTAACTAGGTTATTTATGATGTATTTCTGAACCACTTGGCAGAGAAATTCACGACACTTAATGTTCATATTTTGAGTAAAGGAAGCTAAAACCTTGTCTGCTTTTTGGTACTACATGCATTAGTAAAAGGTTAAATAAGTTTTGTTCTCCACTGAAGTAATATTTAACATCTCAGAAAAAATCTTGCATGTTCTGTAGTTTTGTATTAAGTCAGTCATTTCGTATGCACTATATCAAGTGAAGACAGGTGGTTTACCTGTCTGCGTTAGTATACTAACCACTTCCCCGTGCAGCTTCAGACTGGGGTTTGTAGACGAACTATTCAGCTACAGCACCCAGGTCGACCAAGTGGTTCTCTGCACAGCTCACCTTCGATACCCAGCGGGGCACGGAGGAGGGGGTCGGTAGGTGCAGTGTGTGGAAGCTGCAAGCAAGTAGGTCCTTCATCCATTGATTTCTTTCCCCCAAATAATGGATTCCAAATCTGTATGCACCTATTTGATTTTTTTCCCTAAAACTTCAACTGAGCTGCTGTTTTCTTCCATGCAATATTGTATAATCGATTGTGTATAGAAGAAGCTGGTGAGAGTGCCCTCCTACATAAGCAATTGCAGTGTTTTGCATGCAGAATTTAAAAAATTTAAATTGTCCTGATTCTATTTTGTAAATGGAGAAACAATCATATCTTTCTAAGCAGTAATGGAGGAAGACTAGTGCTTTGTGCATTTTGATATATTTTAGTTCATTTTTCCCATAATGTAATACATTTGACACAATTGGGTTTCTCATATTATCCTAGTTCATGTACATCAGAATGCTAAATAATACTGTGTTTAAGTTTTGTGTTGCAAGAACAAATGGAATAAACTTGAATTGTGCTACAGTCAGTGTGTCAGCATTTTTCTCACTCAGTTACTGTCACCTTCCTTTTTCTAGGCTTCTCTGCAACCATTTCAGTAGTTTGACTCATTTTAATTAATCTAAAGATTTCCCCCTTTGCCCTACTTCTAGAAGAAAGTAAGTGGAAGGAAAATAAGACATAGGAAAGATTTAATTGAAATAAACTATACTATTTATTGGGAAGTTTTGCTTTTTCTGTCAGTTTCCTAATACAAATTGTGTGACTGTAATAAATGTTCAGCAGTGACTGGGAGCAAGCTGTCGCAGGATGTGCTAGAGTGTCAGGATCTTAATAGGTGCTAAAGAAAACAGGGTCATGATGAACCTCTTGTCCTTTCCTGTGCTTATTTTTTTGCTCAGGTTGCCACACATTCCTTGGAGGTTTGTATTATCCAAACTCACTTGACCACGAGCACTTCGTGGTCTTTTTAGGACAAATTTTCTACTTAACATTAAGTCACTTTGAACATCAAAAAAACTGAACAAGACTACATATAAATTAGTTTGGTTTCTGTCACGATCTCGTCGACACCTTAAGAATTGCAGATAGTTTACTTCTAGAAGTAAAAAGTCCACTAATGGTGGAAAAAAGAAATGTGTACAGATGCTAAAATACATCAAAAGCTGTCTTTCAGAACTTTCATGTCAGCAGAAGCATAAAAGGGAGGTAACAGCTGTGGCTGTAGGTTGGGAGTGTCCATAGAAAGTTTTTTAAGCAATGAAGTTATCACGAGAATTAAGGTCTATAAAACTGTTTAAATATATTTTAAAGGGAACAGAGCCCTATATATAATCATTGAAGAGCAGACCAGTTACACGTCAACAGAAGGAACACCCGGAGGAAGGAGAGCTGGGAGTTGATACGAAATTCTTTTGTGATTAGAACAGCTATCACAGAACTTCCACACAATACAGTATGTCAGACTGTTAGATTTTTTCCCCCTCTTTCTGCAAGACTAATGATTCTCAAAATGTCCCTGGACTAGCCACATCACTATGTCCTGAGAACTTGATAGAAGTGCCCAGCCCAGGTCTAATGAATCAAACTCAGGTCGGGCCCAGCAGTCTGTTTTAACAAGCTCTCCAGATGACTCCACCACACACAAGTTTGTACAAGACCGTAAACAGGAGGAGAAATAGTCAAAAAGCCTGTGAATCTGATGTCATCAAGGGTGGCTTCCTAGAGAGAATCTGTAGTAGGCAGAAACTGCTAACGCACGTACAGCAACACTGGACACCCAAGAAAATCTTAAGATGAGCTTCAGTGATATTCTGGGCAAAAGAAGTCAGGATACAACAATGGCTCCAAAGATGTGACGCGGATAAGAATGACTTCATTATTAGGGTTTTTTCCATGAAGGGTGTCCCATCAATTGCTGTGGACAGTATTTCCATGGTCCACATCAGCCCAGAGTTATATCCACTTGGCTGAACTGCTGCAGCTTGAGCCTTGCCCAAGTCCTTTGAATTCCAAAGTGGGGTAAGGGGAGCATGCAAGGAATTTCGGGAGGTAGGTCATGATCTCCTTATCTCGTGCCTGCCACGTTGCAGGTCACCGGATGGCTCCAGGCACTTAGCTGTGCCCCTGCTGGCTTCTGCCTGTCGGTCCCGCAGCAGGGGAGCCCCTCTCCGGGAGACCCATTGCTGCTTTCTCAGCCCTACTGCGCTGTGCTGGCATCAGCGCTGTGACTATGGATTCTCCGTGGCAGTGGGCGTGCCACTGGCTCGGGAACAGCCACCTCTGTGCCAACTAACCATTTTCCTGTTTCAGGTCCACTGTCTTCCCCAGACACTAACCAGATCATCACACATCAGCCATAGGATATTTTTCTTCAAGGCTTTTACTTCATTGAAATACAATTACTGATGTGGAAATAGAATTTATCAGCAGCTTTAATAGCATGTGGTCCATAGTAGACATCCACTGTGTTCTGAACTATAATGTCAAACCATTGTACAGTCTAATGTGAGAGACTTTGTTTTAGTAAATCCTGGCTAAAGGATTACTATCAGGACCATGGAGCTACACCTAAGTGTCATTGTACCCAGATCATTGGCTGAGCAGCCTTCTAAGTACTATTGATACGGCAAACCCAAATCAACAAAGCGGGGACGAACATCGCAGTCACAAGGATTCGCTGAGGAAATGCTGACCCCATATGGGGTCAGATGCAGGTCACCAGGCTATTGTGGCATACGCTAAAGCACAGCTAGTTGTACGCTGAGAAACAAAACAGAGGATTGTCTGGTCACCCTAGCAACCTCTAGGCATTCAGCAGCTGCAGCAGCGAGGGCGATCTTATTTACATGGTTTGGATAGAATGATGGGTCACCGGTTGGTAGGCCACAGCATCTTGTCACAAAGGAGGAGAATGCGTAGACAATTCCTGGCAACTGGATGCTGGCTTTGAGGATACTACCAGATAACTTTTTTTTTAAAGAATGTGTGCTATTCTATGGTTTTACTAACAAATCTGAAAATGTATCATATATCTGTGTATCCTCCTCCTAATACCTAATAATGTCCCATACGTTTATACACATCCCCTGTGTCAGGCCACCAAATCTAGCGATGTGCCACTGCTGGTGACTTGCTAGTCAAATCTCAGTAGGCTTGAAAGTACTCAGATCTAAGTTAATTACATTAATTTTACTAGAAAAAAATTTTTTAGTTATTAGATGACAGCTAGGAGTTGTGCAGAGAAATTTTTTACATTTCCTTATTCAATTTCTACAATTAATGTGTTTTAAAAGAGAGTGAGAGAGAGACTAAGAGAAGTTAAGTAACTTGCTCACAGCCAGTAAACAGCTCAGGATCTGTACAATTTAGTTCTTTCCGATTTTAGAGCCCACACGCCTTCAAATTAAATGAAGAGTGAAAGTTGTTCTCACCCAGATATCCAAAATCAATGCTCATACCCATTCCCAGAAAACTCGGAGGTTCTGCGGCCTTTGTGCCTTTTTTTCCGCTTCTTACCAGCAGATCTCAGAACTTATTTATTTTGCATACTGAAACTTTATAACCTTTAACCAAAAACTCCCTATGTCCCCCCGTCCCCTAGCCCTTGGCAACCTCTGTTCTATCTTTGCTTCTATGAGTTGGACTATTTTAGATTTCACACATAACTGAGATCGTACATTATTTGTCCTGTGTCTGGCTTATTTTACTTAGCGTAATGACCTCAAGGTCCATCTATGTTGCTGCAAATGGCAGAATTTCCTTCTTTTTTCAAGGCTGAATAATCCTACACCATATATATATATATATACATACACACACACACACACACACACACACACACACCTATATACACACACCATATGTTCTTTATCCATTTGTATGTCAAAGAACATTAAGGTTGTTTCCGTGTCTTGGCTATCATGAATAATGCAACAAGGAACGTGGGAATATAGATCAACTATCTTTTTGAGATCTAGATCTCACTTGCTTTGGCTATATACCCAGAAATGGGATTGCTGCATCAACTGGTAATTCCATTTTTAATATTTTGAGGAACCTCCATATTGTTTTCCATAGTAGCTGCACCAATTTACATTCCCACCAACAACATACAAGGGTTCCCTTTTCTCCACAACCTTGCCAACATTTGTCCTTCATGGGCTTTCTGTTTTGATAGTAGCCATCATAACAGGTGTGAGGTGATATCTCATTGTGGTTCTGATTTGCATTTCCCTGATGATTGGTGACAATGAGTTCCTTTTCATAGCTCTGTTGGCCATCTGTATGTCTTCTTTGGAGAAATGCCAATTCAGGTCCTTTGCCCATTTTTTTAATCAAGTTATTTGGGAGTTCGTTATTGAGTTAAAGGGTTTTGTTTATATATTTGGATATTAACCCCTTATCAGATACATGGTCTGTAAGTATTTTCTCCTATTGTATAGGTTGCCTTTTCGCTTTGTTGATGATTTCTTTTGCTGTGCAGCAGCCTTTTAGTGTGATGTAGTCCCACGTGTCTTGTTTTTGTTGCCTGTGTCATATCAAAGAAACTATCGTCCAATTCAATGTCAGAAGCTTCTTCCCTATGTTTTTGGGGTTGGTGTTTAAGTCTTTGATCCCCTTTGAGTTGACTTTTGTATATGAAGTGAGGTAAGAATTATGTTCTTTTGTATGTGGGTATCTAGTTTTCCCAACACCATTTATTGAAGAGACTATCTTTCCCCATTGAGCATTCTTGGCTCCCTTGTGAAATATTAGTTGATCATAGGTATATGTAAGGGTTTATTTCTGGGTTCTTCTATTCCATGGTCTATATGTCTGTTTCTATGCCAGTACAAAACTATTTTGATTACTCTAGCTTTGCAATATGTTTTGAAATCAGGGAATGGTTCCAGCTTTGTTCTGGCTCAAAATTTCTTTGGCTATTCTTTTGTGGTTCTAAATGAATTTTAAGATTATTTTTCTGTTCTTGTAAAAATGTCATTGGGATTTCGATAAGGATTGCATTGAATCTTTGGAAACTATGGACATTTTAACAATATTAATTCTTCCAGTCCATGAACACAGGACATCCTTCCATCTGACTATATTTCTTTTATTGATGTTTTGTAGATTTTAGTGTACAAGTCTTTCACCTCTTTGGTTAAGTTTATTCCTAAGTATTTTATTCCTTTTTATGCTGTTGTAAACTGAGTTATTTAATTAATTTCCTTTTGGATATTTTTTTGTATAGAGAAATGCAACTTATTTTTGTAGGTTGATTTCTGTATCCTTTGACTTTACTGAACTTGCCTATTAGTTCTAACAAATTAAAGTTAAAAAGTTCTTGAAACTAAACTACAACACTGTGAACCTGAGAACCCTATCATATTTCCATGGTTATCCAAAGTTACTATTTAAGGGAGTTAGAGTTTTATGACATTTTAGTGTTTGTTTAACCATTTTAACTGAGCTTTTACTGTGGTCTGGGCACCATGCTAAGTATTTCATGTGAACTGATTAATTTAATCTTCATAAAAACCCCA